TGATTAAAGCATGAACCACATTTTTATAAAACGATAATAAAAAAAAATTTATTGAAAAATATTGCCAATATTAAGCAAAAAACACCATGCACTCACTTTTGATTGCCAGTATATGTATGCATGTACATATGTGTGTAAACTTTATGCCAAACTATCATTATTTTAAATTGTATTTGCATCTTCATAAAAGGAGAACAAGATAAAAAATTTAACAAAAATTACAAATTAATGAAAATTATGTGAAGATTTACCATATTTTCGTTTATTTGCTCGCAAAGAACATCACATTTCATGTTGCTCAACATTGTATTATGTTATCAACATTAAATTCAACAGAATTTCTACATTCCGACTTGAACTTTTCTAACGCTGTTAATTTTTCGTCCGCGAATAGTTTCCACTTTCAGTTTGCATCTTCTCTATCTATCTAAGTTCTCTGACATGGATTGGTATGCGCAATGCGTGATTTGCTTTCGCGTTATGAGGCACAATAGGGCTATTCGCGATTCGGTGTATAAGAGCTGACAAATCTATGCAATTGCAGAAATATGCCATGGATTGTGAGCGACCTTTATTAAACTGTCATGGCAAAGCTTTTGCAAAACAATTTTTGTGCATCAGCTTTGGTTTTGTTTATGAATGCAATGCATAGCATTTTTATGCTATGGATTTTCGGTATTGCAAATTTGCCAAGCCATGACAAATGCAAATGCGTGTATTTTGTTTGTGTATTGCAAATANACATGGATTGGTATGCGCAATGCGTGATTTGCTTTCGCGTTATGAGGCACAATGTTATGTCTTGTTTAAAAAGACCAAACAAACTGTGTCATAGTCATTTTGAAAAGGGGAAAGAGGGTGATCGAAGAAGCTTCTTGAATTAAAAGCAGCGTTCTTTAATAAATTTAGGGTTGGTTAAAGTAATATACATCAACACGAAAATTATCAATGTCTATCAGAAAGTCATTCTCTATCAGAAAATGATAGATCATTTTTAAAAAAAGGCATCATATTCTGTCGCTTTGGCTTTTTATTTAGAATTTCTTGAAAAGTTAGTCAATTATCGTAATACGCACGAAGACGATGATAGTATAAATGTGTCGACGTCGCAGCAAGCAGCATTTTGAAGCCCAATTACATGTGTTTGGAAACTCAAAAAATGCCCGCTTCTGGTCTAAACAGTACTTTATTTTGTATACAGATATCAGTACAAAATTATTTTCTTTGTTTACGTTTTTTTTGATAAATATTATAATCTTGAGTAGACGAGTATCGTTTGAGATGTGATTTATTCTTGTTAATGGATTACTGCAAAAGCATCCATAACTCTTTCCTACCATATTATAAATCCAGAAATTAAAATTAATTATACAACTGGTTATTCTTGCTTTGTCATTTTTCAGGGTGAGAAGATACGTGTTAAAATTAATTTCTGCACTTTACAGTCAATATAACATTATATCATTATTTATACCTTTTACTTATAAGGTAAAGCACCGCTATCACAATCGAATACTCATAGAAAGAAATTATCGTCATAATGCGTGACGAATACGATTTTTGCGCGTTTTGTCTATTTGTATTAAGAATCTTATATTGTTATATGATTTTTAGATTATTGAGGCCGCCGAAATGCCGTCTGTTGTGATGTGTGAGAGCGCAACGCGAACGGGCGGCATTTACTTATTTACAGAAATAAGCCAGTCTCCGATTATATACTTTTAATAGACATGAAAATAACACTGATAAAGTACCACACTATAGCCGGTATATAAAAGTGTAGTATAGCCAAAAATCAACATTTCAAAAAAATGTTCATACTTACCCTGCAGGGAAACCGCGGACTAGTGAAACAAATTTCTAGTTCCGTACTAGGTCTTTATCGCCAAAAAGGAACTAGTCCGATAGGAACTAGATCCCCCCCAGTCCAAAATCGGCGAAAAGTGGTACTTTTAAGAAACTAATTTTTTCAGTTTTTTTCACTACAAATCTATATTTAAAGTGACGAATTTAGAAATGGTTCGGAACTATAGAAAAAGGGATGCAGAACGAACTAGATCCTATTTGTCGAATTTAGAACTATTTCGGAACTATCGAATAAGGGATGCAGCGGGGGGCTTGTTTACTTTACATAGATATGTGTTCGGCGGCTTTTTCGTTCAAATACGCTTCTATTCTGTGCTTCGCAGATGCTATTTCATAGTTTGGTAATACAAAACAAAGCTTTGTGTTAACATATTAACATCTTGGGGCCGTATGGAATCTAACCAATAACAGCGAGCACCTCTGCAAAGTCAGCTACAGCAAGGTATGTAAACGTATATTTCAACTAATTTAATTTCAAATTGAAAAAATTTTTCTTTGAAAATAATGTAAATCGCACACGGAAGAACCGAAAAGATTGAAAAATCATGATACTTTTTTCTTTCGTCTGTCGATTTTAGAACTGGTTCGGAACTATAGAATTTAGGACTAGTTCGTAACTATCGAAAAAGGGATGCAGCGGGGGGAATTGACACTTCCTAGGACATCGCCATGTTAAATTCGCCAGTTGCTTGCGTGCAAAAGAGATTTATCGCGAACCAGTACTGGGTCTAAATGTACTAGAAGCGCCCCAATTCAGAACTAGAGATTTTCCCCACAGGGTACTTACAATCATATATGTAATACTCCTTGGCAGTAAGAGCTAGTACCGTCCGAAAACACTACAGCACAGATATGTCAATAAGCACGTACGAAATAAAAGGAACACATACGTTTATAAATATACATGTACACAACACATATACAAAAACGGCACTCAAGTACACAATACATTGACAAAAACGGTACTAGACTGTCTCGCTTTGATTTCGGAATGCTTACACATTGAGAAGTTAGCTTACTGCCAATATAGAAGTATTACATATATGCATGGGCGTAGCCAGAACGAAATTTAGGGGGGGGAGGGGGCATACAAAATAAAAAATTCAAAACCAATAACTTACTTATGTACTAAAAATTTTTTTATTATAGCTTAAAATTATTGTAACCAATAAAGGTAAATATGTTGTACAAAAAACAAATAAACAGAAGTTCACAAAAGTTGATATAAAACTATTCGTCGATTTAAATTGTTAACTTTTTACTGAGCATGTTTATTTTACGAGGAGGAAGCATCGAAGGCCTAACCCCTTCCGTGTGAGACTTTAACCCAAACTAAAATTCCTACCGTCATGTACCGTTCCCCTCCCGGTACCACCGTCAAGGATTTCGTCGGGATTATAACACTGTGTGACTGATAAGGTTATAGATCTATTCTCTTCCTCTTCTTCCTTTTTGGCGCTGTAACCGCCAAAGCGATTTTGACCAACTGACGCCTATTAGAAATGCCAAGTGAAGCCAGAATACTTTCAGAGCTGGGGCGTCGGTGTCCATTCGAACGACATGATCAAGCCAGTTGAGCCGCTGTATTTTAATACGCCACATACCAGCACGGGCATGATGAGTGATTTATAGTGTGGTTTTCGTACGTCGAGAGAGGACTTTACTCCTGAATTGCCTACTCAGTCCAAAGCAGCACTTGTTGGCAAGAGCGATTCTGCGTTGGATTTCCATGCTGACATTATTACAGGTGTTAATGCTGGTTCCCAAGTAAACGAAATTCTCTACTTCCTCGAAATTATAACTGTCAAAAGTGACGTGGGTGCCAGGCGCGAATGTGCTGATTGTTTGTTTGATGACAGGAGATACTTCGTCTTGTCGTCGTTTACCACCAGACCCATTCGCTTTGCTTCCTTGTCCAACTTGGAAAAGTCAGGACAGACTTCGCGGTTTTTCTTACCGATGATGTCAGTGTCATCGGCATAAGCCAGCAATTGTACGCTCTTGTAGTAAATTGTTCCTAAGCGGTTCAGTTCTGAAGATCTTATTATCTTCTCCAACATCAGATTAAAGAAGCCACATGAAAGAGAGCCGCCCTGTCTGAAACCCCGTCTGGTGGCGAAAGGCAACAGAGCAGAGCTGGTGGTATTACTCAACGTCATTTTTCACAGGCGTATGACAGACATAGCGGCATATACCTTTAAGTACTGTCGAAAGCGGCTTTAAAGTCGACAAATAGGTGGTGAGTGCGGATCATTTTCTCGCGGGTCTTTTCCAAGATTCGGCGTACTGTGAATACCTGGTCTATGGTAGACAATACATTCGATAAGACCTTGCAACCTATGCTTAGAAGGCTGATCCCGCGGTAGTTGGTACGCATGGCGGGGTCGCCTTTCTTGTGGATTGGGCAGAGCGCACTTGAATTCCAGTCGTCGGGCATGCACCTTATTACCTCCTTGCCATCGTAATTAAATAGCTCAGCTGACAGGCCGTCAGCTCAAACAGCTTTGGCACTTTTCTTCATAGTCAGGCGCTGGGATATCGACTCCATCGTCATCGACTGGGACCTCGAAGTGCTTCCGCTATTCAAAAGGGTCGAAAAGTGTTCCCTCCATAATCTGAGTACGTTCTGGACATCGGTCACTAGGTCGCCATGGTTGTTCATACAAGAGTCTTGAAACCTTCCGTAAGTCGCTCAACTCTCTGCTAAAAATTTCGGGTGTTTTTTCTGTCGGACAGCATTTCAAGCATTTTCTCACACTCGTGATCGTACCAGTAATTAGCGGGAAATGTGGTTCCACTGCTCGCGCAAGTCGGTTTGTTGAAGAGTGCTCTCTCACAGCAGGTGTGAGGGTCGAGCGCCGAATCCATTGGCCGTCTGTTTTGATTGCAGCTTTTCGACGTTGAACTTTCCCTGCATTGTTGGGGGCCCTTTTTTTGCTTCTCCGAGGTTAGGTCGTATATTGGATGCATCAATATAGTAGTGCGAGTCGATGTTTGGCCCTCGGAGTGTACGTATGTACATCTAAAACATGGAAGCATGTCTTCCGTCTATCACAACATGCTCGATTTGGTTTCCCGTTTTTCGATGTGGAGACATCCATGTAGCTTGAGAGAACGAAAAATGACACTGAAGATGGAACAACGCCGAAACCGGTTTGTCTCCAAACCAAATTTGACAAGGGACGACGGAAAATCGTTCCACAATACATCACACTCCTACCCTGTCGGAAACACCAACAACGAAAATGAGAATAGCTTGATGGATGTTTTTATGCTAGAACCCAGTAATACATACTGCCAAGCTTCGGGCCCCGGCGAAGTGGATCATCCTCAGCCCGCCGTTTCTATGTGGAGGCTGATTTTTTCGACACTGGCACCAAAGATCCCTTCGTTGCCCACCTTGGCATTTAAATGGCCAAGCACGATTTTTATACGTGTCGGGGGCAGCGCTAATATGTACGCTCTAAGCTAAGAGAGCCTTGGATGCCTCGTCCTTCTCTTCCATCGGGGCATTGGCACATGTGAATGAGATGTTGAAGAATCTCGCTTTGATGCGGATTGTGGCTAGACTTTCGTCCACTAGAGTGAACGCCGGTCTCTCTCCCACCACAAATCCAACACCGAATTGCACTCCTTTACGTGGCAACTGTAGTAGACGTCGCAAGGCTCACGCTTACCTTCCTCGCCCCGTCCATCGCATTTCGTGGATGGAGCTGATGTCAGCCTTTATTTTCCCTAGGACTTCAACCAGCCGGGCAGAGGCACCATCCCGATTAATCCCCAGCGCACGCGGGGTGTTACGCCCTCCCACTTTACCTCGCTCCCAAACTAGCGTTCGGTCGCTACCCAGAGTATTCATGGATATAAATATCCGGACGTAGTTAGCTGCGATTTGAACCGTAAGCACACGAATCACTTCTGGCCACTCCCAGGTGAATGGCCGTCAAAAGCTTTGCAGTACTGGGAAATGTACAAAACATAGTGGCCAAAAACGAATATCTCAACTAAACCCTGATGAATTTTTTTAAATTCGCTCTACATACCTGTATAATAAACCAAATAGCCGGACAAAACGTTAAATGATATACATACATATGTATGTATGTATAAGTATGAGGGCGTATTGAACATTTTGAGTACGCAGATTTTTTAGGCTGGTATATTTATTTATGCTAAATATATTACTTGATTTTGTTTTGTCACACTTTAGAAGTAAACAGCCAAGACTGTTCACCCAACCGCTTAGTAAAGACACAAACCTAAAGACAAAGTAATAAACAATTGAACTATAAATTTATTTATAGTTTCCGTTCAATCAATTTTTGCTCATTGTCGACTGCAGCCAGGTTTTTACCCTTTTAAAATGGAAGTGCTTTGAAGTTAGAGATAATAACTTGATACAGAACCGGATGATCCACATATCTACTTTTCAAATCAATTTACTAATTATTTAGTTAGCGTTGGGAGTATAATTTGTTAAACAGTATATGTGTATATAGGAAAACCCTTGAAATTTAGGGGGGCCGAAATTATCAAGCAAGCATTTCGTGGTAGTATTTTTGAATATCTAGGCAAAAATTTGAAAGTTAGGGGAAAACAAATGACAACACCGAAACCTCCTGCGCTGCGCTGCTGACCGCTTGCCGCTTCATAACTGCGCGGTAACATCGATTGTCGGAGCTCTTTTAAACATCTAATTGTTATGGTACCATAATGATTTATACATTATTATTTAGGAAAAAAGTCAAGCTTTCTATTTATCTTCAAAAAAATCGAAGGGGTCGATTCGTGCGAAAAATGTGAATCAAAATTTAAAAACCTGTTTTCGCGCATCAAAAAAGTAAATTTCTAATTCAAAATATTTTTATCGTAAAGAACGGAAAAAATCCTGTAAGAATCATAATAAACATTATAAAGTTTGTACTTAAGCTGAAATGTATAAATTACCAAACTTTTACGTGCACAAAAGTTTGAGACCCTGTACGTCTGCAACCTTCCATAATTAACTCTCCCCTATTTGTGAAAATGTTGTGAACAAATAACACTATATTTATAAAAAGTTACATTGAAATCGGTGACATCAACTCTTTGACTTGACACTTGACAAATTTTGCCCCGTATATCAGAAACCATTTAGACACATACGGCATGCAAAACTGTCGAGCAGTTGCTACACCACTCGACCCCGGTTGTCCCGTTGGTTGAAAGATGACAGCTTCGTTAAAGTAAATGTAACGCGCTATCAGTCATTAATCGGTTCTCTAATGTACCTAGCAGTTTTGAGCCGACCTGACATTTTGCACGCGGTTAGCAAATTGGCACAACGCAACATAAATCCGCACGCTGAGCACGAAGCCGCAGCAAATCATATTCTTCTTTTGCTCGGAATTTATAGCGAATTTTGGAAGGAACTTGGTTAATTGGAGCAGTGCTATCGCTTGCGCTAGGATTTCACGCTTTAGAGCAGAGCTGACTAAGAGCAAAGAACACAATTTGTTTGAGGTCTGGGCAATTTTTCGCCCATGCCAGAGGTCTCGAAACTCTAAGCTTGGCAAGGTAGCATTATTCTAGACTGGCCTTTCGATGATAAAAGTGCGTGGGGAGCCTTGATCAATGAGTGCTCGCAGTTTGAAGAGCTCATGTTTTACATGGACTATCGCAGTAGGGAGCATTTGGTTTTCATTTTCCTGCGTAAAGAGTTTGTACTTGATTGGAACATTGGGGGAGCTCGTCTTGGTTTTACGAACGGTCCGGCGTTTGCAGATTAGCAGAAGCTGTTGCAATCTAAGAACGGGTTATCCGCAGTTGTGGTTGACGCTGGTTAGGTGTGGAGGTTACGTCCTTGTGGAGAGTTGTGTGATGCCTTCTTTAACATTTATAACACGTCCGGTAGAGCTGGAAAACTATCGATGGCACTATCGATAGTATCGATGGTTTTTGCCTATCGGAAACATCGATAGCTTTGTGAGCACTATCGACAGTTTTCACTCATATATACATTTTTCAGTAGGGGTAAAATACGGCGGTACCTGTTTCATCTTGTGAGTGGGAAAAGACATTTAGCAAAGCAGGGCAAATAATTTCAGAGCGCAGATGCTGCTTGTAGCCAAAAATCGTTGAAAAGGTTTTGTTCCTTAACAAAAATATGGACATATTTTAGCAGTTATGATCTCATTTTCAATAAAAGTTGTTATGTTTAATTTTTGGAATTTTTAATCAAAACTATCGATAGAACTATCGATAGTGTCAACATTTTCGATAGTATCGATACTATCGATGGTTGTGACTATCGACTATCGAAACTATCGATGGCTACGCCTATCGATAGTTTTCCAGTTCTAACGTCCGGTCAGATGGACAGTCTTGGATGGTATGCGTGGAGGACAGGCAGTTGGTGCACAAGTTACGTTCCCTCACTAGTTTTTCGCGATTGTTTATGGAGAGTCTTTTATATTTGAGACACTGACTGAGGGAATGGGTTTTTTGTTTGCAGATAACGGAAGCGAACTTTTTCCTTTGTTCTGTTATGTGGATCTGAGAAAATGAAATGTGACCCGAGGGTTTGCAGTGGTTTTGAAAACGACCTATTGTGGGATGGAGGTAGCCTTTTGTTACTATTATTTGCGGAATTAAACTTGTCTTTGGGTGGCCGCCATTGGTTGACCCTTTCAACTACCTTGTATCTTGTGGTGAGCAACTGGTTCATTTGTGACCAGTTGGGAGGTCTTTCCTCGAATTTACGGACTGTTCCCATAAAGTAACCGCGATCTCAGGGAGTTTCGAGGTAATTAAATATATTAAAATGGGATCCCACCTTTCGGTGGATACATTCTGGATTGCTAGGATTTGGAGGCAGTTGTTAACAGTGGATTGAAGTCTTTGAATGTCTTCACTGTTCTCCACTTCAATTGGCTTTAGGTTCATTAGAACTCGAATCTGGTTGTCCACTAATACACGTTTGTTCTCACATCGGGACCAGAGGGCTTCCCATGCCTGCTACACACACCATGCCAGCTACACACTAAGGATGTGTGTCGTTTACGCGAAAGCGGGTAGGTGAACGTTTGCCGAAATCTACCGTCGACAAGCGGTATTTAAAAAAAATTGATCGTCCGCAGTTTAATTATTCCTTGGCTATTGAGTCTATTTTCCCGCCAAATTTTTTACAAAATATATATAGATATGTATGTATGTAGTGTAGGGAAATTAAGAAAATATCTTTACTTACGGCTTTTGCAGATACTTATATACGGTTTAAATCGATGGTGTTAAATTCTCGGCTTGAAGGACCATTTACAGCCATCTGGGCTGTAGCTTTTGGGGTTGCGCTTGGTGGAAGCGCCGGTGGCTGGAGGTTCTAACGCTGTGGCTGGTCGGATGCAGGCGGCTACCAAATTTGCAGGTTGCTGGTGGTGGCGTTGGTGGCTTTACGATTGGTAGACTGGCACGCGGCTGGCGGGCTTTCGGTCGACTATGCAACTGGTTAATTGGTGGGTGGTTGCGAGCAGGCGGTGGACTCGGCTGGGTAGTTGGGCAATTCTGGTCGGTGCTGGAAGCGACTAGTAGCGCCGGATGTTGACCGACTGCAGGCGCGGAGTTCGCGGGGTTTTATATCGCACTCACGAAAGTCTTTACCGTACAATAGTGCCGAATCTGGGGGATACACGGCCGACAGCAAGTACAATTTCAAACTTGTAACAAATAACACGCCAAAGTTCAATTAATTTATACAATAATTTATTTGTCGGACTTCAATTTATTGGCATAGTCGATGAAGCGCAAAACGAGCGTCGCAAGCAAAACCCGGTGAGATCACGAAAATGGATAGATGGAATGAATAATTTAAGTTTTTACGTTGAAAAATGTATACGCGTATACATACAGCGCTGAGTCTAGTCTGTAAACTTATGTCAAAGTGCTGAATTGTGGTGACGCCGACGTTGACATAGGCTACTAGTTAACATTTCATATTTCATTTACGATATTTCATACAAATGAATAATAAAGGGAATTTTATTTCAAAATAGTTTGGTTATACAAATTTAAAGGTTTTTTACAAGTTAAGCGTTGTGCAAAGCTGAGTGCTAGATACGGCGACCTCGCTTGGCCAACAAGTAAAATTGACTTTGACTTTGGTTCTCAGATTTTTTCTTTTACTAATAAAGAAATTCGAAAATAATATGGTGAAACTTTTTTTCGTCAATTACCGCGTTTTTGCGACTTTCTGAAAATTCTCAACGGCAGCATTGAATACGCCTACTGTGCTCTACAAAGCAATCTGTGCAAAGTTTAAAATGATTGGCCGAGCTTCTCCTTCGATTGGCGGTGTGTGCCTTGATTTCACACAAACCACTCGACCTCGGCTGACAAGTGTTTTTCTGCCCTTTACTCATTTTTGTTGTTTGTGAGATTTTCAGTCGCCTTTTCAGTTAAAACAGTACCAGTAAATCACTTAATTTACTTACCTAAATTATTTCTTAAAACTACTTGACATCCGCATCCGCGGATGTTACCTTTTAAACATCCGCATCCGCATTCGCAACATCCCTAGTACGAAGCTACCGTTTACTGACCTAAAGGTACGTTAGGTACAATCCCTAGATTTCAGGTACAATCATCTTTTGATCAGATTAATTTATATTTTTATTTTTTTATTTTTCCTGTGCTAATATATTTACTTGTAGGTAGAATACACAATTCCAAAAAAAGTGGTGAAAAGGAAGAAATTAACAAAATCATATTATGTACCACTGCGAAAAATTAACACTTTACTTCGCTATCCCCAAATTCGTAATTCTTGTTATAATATTTATATTCGAAATTTTGACTATGTATTTTCTTCCATACAACCACATTGTCACCTAGACCGACGTACTCCCCTCTCGAATGGCGGTTTGAAATCTACAAACAATCTACCTTTATAATTGTTGTAATGCGTTGTTAATCTATTGAAACCATAAAAGCTAATGTTCCACGCATATGATAACATTTTTAACTTTTCTATTAATTTTATTCACCCATACAGTACTCTGTCTAGGAATTCTTCAAATTTCATATTTTCTGTAGTTGAGCAATTTGACACATATTCGCTATTCGATTTCGGGAAATGTAGTTATAATGCTCTCGAATTTACTTACCGCAATTCCCATTATTTTTTCAAGACTTGCTGCACCTATTTAAGGAATTCGGACAAATTAGCAGACTTTCCCTATTATTTTACAAAAAGTTGAATAAAAAAGTAAACTTCGAAAAGTGTATTTTTTGACTTTTCGCCAATATTTTTCAGTAGTCCAAATTGGACAAAAACAAAGCTTCCCCGATTCCCATTAGACTATATTAGTCTATATGCAGCTATAATCTCAGTTAAAATAAAAATAATCAGCTTTAAAGTATATCCACCTTTTGAATTCATATTTAAAAAACAAATTAATAGAAAAAAAAACTGCAACGAATGATGTAACTTTTTTAGGTACAAGCAGTCTCATTTAGGTGCATTTATTTATGATATTAGGTACAATTTGAGATTTCCATTTTTCATCCCTCGTCTGAAATGTAAATAATATATGTACATACTAAAACAATATATGTACAATGTGGGCCGAGTCATGATTCAATAATAAAAGAGTTTTGACACTCCCTTACAAGGGTATATTAACTTTGTTCGCATAACGGTTGTTTGTAACAGCCAAAACGAATCGAGATAGATATGGGCAAATGTATACACAAATGATCAAAATGAAATGAGAAGTCGATTAAGCCATGTCTGTCTGTCAGTCCGTCCGTCCGTCTGTCCGTGTAAACCATAACTCGAGCAAAAATTGAATTCAACGAAATTTGGTATGTAGATTACTTTTTATCCGAGGTTGGTTGGTTTTGAAAATGGGCGAAATCAGACTGTAACCACGCCCAGTTCCATTTTCGAAAAATGCAAAAACTGCGATATTTCTGTAAACATTAGATACAAATTGTTGAAAATTAGTATGTGGAGTAAAATGGTTCAGAAACACGAAAACTGCGATAAATCAGCAACTACTCGAGCTAGTTCATTTAAAATCAATGATTACAATAACCACTTATCAACAAATTAGAATATTATAAATTTTTGGATAATGGGCGTGGCACCGCACACTTATGACCACAAAAGTGTATGTCGTTAATGGGTTTATCAATTTCTGCCAAACACGGTGCACCTAATAAACCTTGGTACGGAAAAGCAATTTGTTGAAAATTATTCAAATCGGACTAAAATTACACCCGCTACTCGTATTATGGTAAATTTAAGAAATACGAAAACTCCGATATTTCAATTAAACTTATGAATATATTTATTTACATTCCAGGTACACGATTCGTGATCAGGTGCTGGACGATGGTATGGTGTCGGAATTGGGAATTTCCCATACTTACCGCCAGGATACCGGGATTTATATCTGCCAGGCCAGCAACGCTTTCGGACAGGTCAGTACTGCAATTTTTATCACAAACCAAAAACCCTAAAAAACGAAATAACAATTGCATGTGAAAATGTGCACGTTAAGTTCAAAATGTTGACTACATATCTGGACACACACATTCTCTGCTCACACAAACGCCAAAAACACATTCAACGTTCTAGCAAAGAATCGGAAAACGCTTTAAGTACACAATGTGCCTGAACCAAATTTAAATACGAAGTCATGGGACCTGCTGTAATCTTTTTTAACACCCTTTTATTAGCTTCACCTGTATGTTTGTATGTATGTATGTTTGTAACCGACTCCTTTGGACTCGATTTTGACCCACTTTAAACGGACAGATTTAATTCAAACTTTGTACACTTATCAAGAATCAGCGACAATATAATAATTTCATAAATTTATCTCATTATCCTGATTAGGATCGCCAGGATTAAATAATTTCCTCACACAGCCTCTGTGTGAGAGCAAGTGAGACAACTACGCTGTCTGCGCATGCGTACCGTCTACTTACTTTCCGACTCGAGCACTCGGCTTATTAGTGTTAATACATTCTATCCCTATCAGTTGCACAGTTGGCCAAGCGGGCTAAGGCGCAAGTCGTAGGCGCGAGACAACGAACTTACCAGACATGATTTCAAATCCCGTCTATGGCTGAAAATAAATGATGTAACGCTATCTTCCACTGCTTGACCGCGGTACTGATATTAATTGCAAAGATGAATTTGGCAATACGCCACTTCTTTTAGCAGTAGAAAATAATCATTTCGATGCTGTACGAGCATTATTCAATCGCGGAGCCGATTGTGAAAAATAATTTAAATGTTACACCAGAGAACGTATATAGTTCTCTGCTTAAAGTCTTTTGATTTAAATTATGAAATTTTGGTTTTTACTGAAACTTGGCTAAAACCGAATGTGTTTAATAGTGAAATATTGTGTAGTAAGTGTGAAATATTTAGAAATGATCGCTTAGATAGAAAAGGTGGGGGTGTTTTAATAGCTGTTCAGACCGCCTTTTCCTATGAAAAACTTGTGTTCACAGGTTCAGATGATGTTGAATTCCTCTGTGCTAAAATATGGTGCCCCTCAAGTAGTGTTTTTCTTGTTGCAATTTATATTCCACCAAACTCTAACCCTTCGGTTTACTTGAAACAGACATTCGTTATTGCTCTCTTTATTTGCTATGGTCAAGCCTTCCGACTCCATTGTTCTGCTGGGTGGTTTCAATCTAGCGTGTGTTTCCTGGGATTCGGTGGATGGAATTCTGGTGCCAAATTCTTCTCGGGATGTACTTAATCAATTTCTTAACAAACTTTCCGATCTTGGTCTATATCAGATTAATTCAGTTACACAACTTAGGTATATGTCTTGATTTAGCGTTTATTGATGATACTGATAAATGCACTATAATACGCGGCGATCCTTAAGTTAGACCCTTATCACCCTTGAGTTGTCCTTGGCACCATCCTACGATTCATGTTATTGTCCTGAAACTAGAAAGCCGAAAGGTCGGCGATATTCTTTCAAATACGCTAACTACGACAAGCTTAAAATACCTATATCTGAAATAATCTGGCCCGAGTACGATGGGGAAGTTGAGAACAGTGCCTTACACTTTAGTAAAATCTTGAATAATATATTCAGTAAACTCATTCCTCTTGTTAAAGAAAATACCGGACCTTGTAACTCGTTGTGGTTTAACTCAGAGCTAAAGCATTTAAAAAATCAGAAAACTAAATCATTTAAACTTTATAAAAAATCAGGCCTGTCTTCTCACTACGCCGCGTACTCCATCCTTCGTCATAAATACAATGCCTTAAACAGAAAATGTTACAGGAATTACATTAATAAAACTCGCATTAACATCGTTTCTAATCCCAAGTCATTTTATCATTTTGTTAACTCAAAACGTAAAATAAATGGGTTTCCCTCAAAACTGAAATTAGATGATGATATGATTGCTGATATGTTTGCAAATTATTTTGAATCGAACTATTCTGTCGAACCAAATGAAAAAAACTTCTAGCTATCCTTTTCCACTCCCACAATTTGACCACATCCGTATTCCTTCAATCTCCGCTGACAATGTTCTCCTTCATTTGAATAATTTAATAAATTCTTTTCTAAGTGGCCCGGATGGTATTCCCTCCTGTGTCCTAATAAGTTGTGCTGATTATCTATATAAGCTATTAACAAACATCTTCAATGCTTCTCTAAAGCAAGGAGTTTTCCTCTCTTTGTGGAAGGAGTCGTATATCTTGCCGCTTTATAAAAATGGAAGCAGGTCGAATATTGCGAATTATAGGGGAATCGCTAAGCTGTGTGCAATTCCTAAATTATTTGAAGAAATCGTTACGGAAGAACTATCTTATTCCATAACACCCGTTATCGATGTATCAGAACACGGCTTTTGTAAAGGTAAATCAACTGTATCAAACCTTCTTGAATTCACTACAAATGTGAACAATGGTTTCAAAAGTAATTATCAAACTGACGTCATTTACACTGATTTCAGCAAGGCTTTTGATAAAGTATCTCATTCAACTCTAATATACAAACTTGATAAAATTGGTTTCCCTCCAATCCGGCTGCGCTGGCTTTCTTCTTATTTAATTGGCAGAGGGTTATCTTTAACAGAGGGTTATCTTTAAAAAATGTTCAACTCAGTTGTACCTCAAGGTAGCTGTTTATTTTATTCATCAACGATCTTCCAAATATTTTGAAGTATTCGAATTGCTTAATGTACGCAGACGACGTTAAGTTATTTAAGTTCATTGGTGCCCCAGGAGACAGGAAACAATTACAGGTGGACCTTAGTAATGTGTTTAAATGGTGCGAAGTAAATTCTATGTCTCTTAACTTGCAAAAGTGTAAATTTATGTGTTTCTCTAGAAAATCCTTTCAATCATATAGCTACCGCATTTGTGAACATAGTATTGATCAGGTAACTAATTTCATCGATCTAGGCGTAACCATGGACTCTAAGCTTGAATTCAAGTCCCATGTAAACTCTTGTGTTAATAGAGCCAAGGGCGTCTTGGCTTTCATCAAACGTTGGGCTAAAGAATTCAGAGATCCTTATGTCACTAAAGCTCTCTTCACCTCCCTAGTCAGACCGATCTTAGAATACAGGTCCGTCGTATGGAACCCTAGATATCAAACGCACTCTGACAGACTCGAGTCGGTACAGAAACAATTCTTATTATTCGCATTAAATAATTTGCCTTGAGATTCGACATTAAATCTCCCACCGTACAAAAGCCGCTTGAAGCTCATAAATTTGCCAACGCTGCACGGCCGTAGAGAGATGCTCGGGGTTTTGTTCATGATTAAGATCTTGAACGGGATGGTCAATAGTCCCTTTCTACTGAACCAGATCACGTTTTGAATTCCTTCTAGGTCTTCTAGACATTACAAGCCCATTAAGCTAACTATTTGTAGAACAAATTTTGAAATGCATGATGCTTTTCGTTGCCTATGCCAGGACTTCAATAAGCATTACGACTATTTTGACACCTCCGACTCACATTTTACCATTAAGAAAACCTTACTTGAGATTTTGAATAATAACATGTAAACCCTTACATTGCACCTTATCGTTCAGCTGGTGAACTGTATTTTTGTTCAGTTTATGAGGTAAATGTAAACGTGAATCGCTTTTTTGTAACTAAAAAATTAATATCTTTAACCGGGAACGATAACTTACACAATATCTATGACTGCTTAGTACAACTGTAATCGGCTTCGTTTATTCTCGCGACCGCGTATTCAATACGAGCATGGATCGGAATCTCGGCCTTTCCGACCATGATCAACAGCTTCTCCACAGCGCGGAGGTGAAGCTAGAGCTTTCCGCCTGCCACACTCAAAATAATGACTTCGGGAACATGGATCGGAAACTTGTTCTTTCCGACCATGCTGAACAGCTTGTCCACAGTGCGGAGCGGAAACTAGAGCTTTCCGCCTGCCACATATTCAAAGTAATGACTTCGGGAACATGGATTGGAAACTCGTTCTTTCCGACTATGTGCATCAGCTTGTTCATAGCGCGGAGCGGAAACCAGAGCTTTCCGCCTGCCACACATACAAAGTAATGTCTTCTGAAACCCGGCCTTACCGACCTTGATCAAATCCTGTCCGCAGCGCGGAGCGGAAACTAGGTCTTTCCGCCCGCCGCACATAAAAGTAGGCTGAAGACTAGGCCTCTACCAAACCTGCTATTTTATGCTGTTATTATTATTATTATTATTATTACAAAATACTATGTATCTAAATGTTCTATACCCATTTGTCTGTAAGGCAATCCGCATATTAAGTGCCTAATCATAGCAGTGTAATCGTTTCGGCATAATAAAGTATGAAGCTTTTATTACGAACACATATATTTGAATGATGATCTGTACATTACAATTCATAATCATGTTTTCGCCTAATCATAAAAGCTTCATGAATCGAAGTGCCCAACATTGTTAGGCGCTTGCTGTTTCGAAATCGTCATTTGTTTACTTTTTTGTGTTGGAAATAAAAATTATTTGTCACTTCAATAGGAAATAATTGAGAATTAATGATTTTGTGCTAAAATTCGTGCTAGTTGTACTAAACTATAAACCTTTATGCAATATTTTACTGCAGAAATATTAGCGGAAGTGATCATTGAGAAAGAACGGCCAGAAAATATATAATGTGTGGTATGTGTGTGCCTCAAGGGCTTATGCAGCGCGTGGTAGTGTGCAGAAGTGGAGTCGTCATTCATTCGTTTCGGCATGTCGAAACGATTACTCTACTAAGATTAGGCGCGTAATGTGCGGAGTGCCTAAGAAAACATTTTTCTGTAGACCAAATAAATAAATAAATACATAATTAGGAATACCCTTGCAAACTTGTAAGCTACTTATCTCCGAGAGGTTTACTAAAGTAGCGAACGACAGGTGGCAGGACGAAATCACCAGCAAAACTGCCAAACAATTGTGGGCGGTGCTCAGCGCCAAACGCACTGGCCTA